TCACTAATCTGCTCTGAAAAATGTAAAAGTGAGTCTTGCTTATGTACTCTGCTTGGAATATGCAAGTATGTTGTGTGTGAGGTTTTGTTTTTTAAATTCTCTTTACAAACCAATAAACTCTTTATAAAAGCTCCTGGTGTCACTGGGTAGCATTATCTCGTTCCCCACCCTCCAATTCTGACCCTTCTTTAGCAACATGGGATAGTGCCGCCTGTCTTTGTATGAAGCATGTATACCCTAGCACTCTTCAAAGTCACTGCACCTCACCCTCTGCATCCTCCCCACAGTGTCACTGTCCCACACTTTCCATCCTCCTAACTGGAACTGCACGTACCTCTCCTAACATCACACTCTTCCAAGTCACATATCCCAGCAGCCCAAAATTGCTACAGATGGTTTCAGATTCAAAGCTGGCTAGAAGCCCACTACCTGGCAGCACTCACTGTATGTCACATTGACATGCAGAAGACCTCAGTCCAGGAGAGACCTGGAGGTCAGGATCTCCTGGCTCCAGACCAAGTGCAAAGGTATTCACAGGGGCAGAGGAGTGACAGAGCATATAGAAAGCAAAGAAAGGAGAAAAGCAACAGCCTCCAGCCATCTCTTTAATGAAAGGAGGAAGATGCCGACACAAAAGTCACTGACAGAAGTGATGTTGTTGTGTGATCAGCCTCTTGAAACCACTCTACAGCCATGTCCTGACAGAAGTGCAGGCTGCAGAGCACTTTAAAAGTGCCCAATCACATGACAAATAAATCCTCATTACACGAGGGTTCAGATGAAGGCACCCCACAGAGGAGTGGCCTTCATTAACTTCTGTCAGTGCCTGCACGGAAGCAGAGCTGGCCTCATGCAGCCCAGCCCCACCCCCAGTGCTGTCTTCCGGATGGGAAGAGGGGGAAAGGAAGGGAAGCAGCTTGGTCTGGGGTTTGCCAAGCCTGTGCTGGGGACCTGAGAGGTGGATTGGAGTCCCCCGAGCGGGGGGGGGGGGGCCCCAACCCCCCCGCCGCCCCCCCCAGCTCAGACTGGACAAACTGTAGACTGAGCTCCTCCCCCAACCCTCCCTACCTCCCATCCTGAAGACAGCACCAGACCTGGGAGTGGGGTGCAGGGCGAGGCGGGAGAGGCTGCAGAGCAGCCACCTCTACAGTGGAGCTCAATCCCCCCTCCCCACAGACCCAACAGAGGATGTCTGCTGGATGGGGGTGAAGGGGTCATTGTAACTCATGGCACTTCCTGTGAAGCACCATGAGTTACAGTGTGAAGCTGCACATCTGTCAGCACCCCATGGGCTCAACAGCAGCATCTAAATAGTCTGCAATCCCATCCAGAGGCTTGTGTCTAGTTCTCAGCCACCACTACCATGCCTGGATGATTCAGTATAGTTTAACTTGGACAGTGAACAGGAATTGAAACAGATTCAATTCAGTGCTGCCCCATGCATCAGGAATTCAGTGCCAGATCTAAGAGGTATAAATCTGAGCACCCTGAAGGTCAGCTGCTGGGGCACCGTCAGACAACACCGTCTAGCCAGGGTGATTCATGACCACCTTCTACAGAAGAAATCCCATTAAGCAGGCAACATGGTGACTC